GAAAACTTCAGGGCAAATACCAAAATTAAATGTGTTAAAAAAAAATTCCGAAAACCAACATCAGCTGATTTTAGTTTTCAGATAAGGGTTCTCAGCTCAATTTCTGCTCTGCTTAAACAGCAAATATTCATAATGCATTACTGCAATATTGAAATTACTACAATGGAAATAAGCCTTTGCCTTGTGTTATTCCTGTGGTTTTATATTATGACATGACCCTTTTTAAGATGTGAATAATGATTATGAAATGGTTAAATCAACGTTTTTTGGTGAAAGCATTGGCTGAACATTATTAAACATCGCTGTAAATGTCAGCGGGAATTTCCTGCGTTGTAAGTGTTAGATATGCGTGAATCTATGAAATTACGCGCAATACCTGCAATCCCGCACTGAAATTCAGGCCCTGAATTGTGATTATAAATCTGTCGTTCAATTTCCCTCATAAAAACCATAACAAAGATCCACACGGTCAACATTTTTACTGTTTATTTGCTGCTGCTCAAACTGTTTGGAAGCATTTGCTACAACTGCCACAATAATATTGTTATTATTACCTGTTGCTTAAAATAAAAAGAAACCTAATAAGACTTTGGCTGTGAAGAAATCAGAATTGGAATCATCCATAAAAATTCATGAATTCATGACAGCTGCACCACTAACATACACATACATCACAGGCCATGTCAATGACATTCAAGCCCACGGCTGCAATTACAACAGGGGCAAGATCTTATCAGGACTGCTTCAGCCTTTTTGAGGTTGTTTAATCAGCTGGCAAACCATGACCTACTGTTTTATTAGGGCATTAATGCGTTTTACAGCTAAACAGCGGTCAAGACTGACATCATGAATCAGCAAGCTAAGTTACCATCCCAAGATAGAAGCTTCCTAAGCCAATTATCACTCTTAAAGCATCAATCTAAGGCCAAACTCATGATCTTTGCTTATGATCTCTGCCAAGTAACCTAATTCCAATAAGGGCAACATGTGTGGGGTTTTTCGTCCCAGTGCCAGAATGATTGATGTATGTTTATACGAACATGTTTTTCTTTCGGCCTGACCCGGACCAAAAGGGCCTTCGTCAACAAGACTTTGATTTACAGCACAAGTTCTGAACAACATATATGTGAAACATTTTCACAAACTGGAAGATAGTTTTACAAATTTGAACAACATCTGTTAAATGTTGCATTCCTCATTTCCATGTTTGTGTGCCTTATGAACAGCGTTGGGATGTAGCAGAATACAAGTATTGTAGAAGAATCGTAGAATCTGTAAGAAATTTAGGATCTTTAATTCAGTCCAAGTTACATTTTGTAAAGGAAGTATTCAGAATACAGTTACTTTTGACATTTTTAGGAGAATACTTTTACAGAACATACCCACTACATCGAAAAACTATGAACCATCTTTAAAAGAAACACCAACACTCGTTTATTAATCATTTTAAAATCACAGCGTGTAGAAAATCCAGCCACCAAAGTCTCTACTAAAGCCTGAGTAGACTGATAAATCAATATGATGAGCCAGATATTAATCTCAGCTTTACTAAAGTCCAAAGATTTGACATGTTATATGTTAAAATGACACCAGACTACTTAATAAAAAACCACATAGCTGCCCACTTTACATGGCGAATTGTGGAAACAGAAGTGTAATGCAGAGGTAATGCGAGTCAAAATAATGATGAGAATTTTGTAACTTCATTTAAATAAGTGAACTGTTCACAAGATTAACAGAAGAATTACATGAAGAAAATGGTCAACCAGTAACAGAGACGAACAGTGTGAAGTAAATAAAAACAAACAGCTGTAGTTTTTTCCCATGTGCCTTAGCAATATGTATTCGAAGTGCATTAATATGTTACTTTTTATGTATTGTAGTAGAATACATTATTGAACAGTACTGCTTTTAGTACAGTATTTCAGCCACCACTACTTTTTCAAAGTATACTGCACAACTCTGGTTATGAACAGCTGTGAATTTAAACAGATTTGGCATAAAACATTAAATAACATGCAGAGTCGACAATAGAATTGAACCTGCACCCCTAATTTAGCAGCGAAATATGAACTTGACTATCTATTCAGTAAACCAGCAACACTGACCAAGAAAACGTCACTTAACAAAGATTTTACAAAATTTACTTCATGAACGTCTGTATCATCACTGACGTCTAGTTAAGCAAAAATCCAGTCAGACTCTTTTGTCTCAATATCTGACACAATATTACAGCATATCTATCCATCTTTGGGACACCACCCTAAAAAGGGATGTGTAAATGTTGAAAGGTAATGTTAATTGGAGTATTTTGATTAATGAACACACTAAATTAGTGGTACTTACGAAACGTAAAGATGATTTTTAAGGTAAGTATTAAGAATGAGCTTTCAAGTACCAGCAGCAAGCATTCAAAGCCTGTGAAATGCTATTCAGGCCATCCCTACTATCGTGTGGTTCCACACTCCACTGTTATTCTTCATGACATTTTAAAAAAAAAGGCAAAAAATCTTTTATGCACCCTCAAAAGAAGCATAAAGTCATATCTATCACTCCAACCAAAAGCATGGAGCATTTATCTTCTCCATAAAAAAAAGGCCGTTGCAAGACTTTAGGTTCACACAGTCAGCACAGCTCAGAGCAGGAAAGTAAAGTTGTACTCAACACGTCTGTTATTTACTCAGCTATAAAAGTCAATAGAAAGTAAAACATGCTGCCACATATAAACTGAATTACAGCACCAACGCTGCCAAAGGGAAGTGACAGTAACCTGATAATCGGGCAAATCCATATGGCACTAACTGCTCTTCTTTATCTCGCGCTAACTGTGGGCGGCCCCTCTTCAGCTGACACACTTTTAGTTAGAACCAAATCTTTCCAAACAGCTCACCAGGGACCACGTCACTCTGAACTACACCACACGAACAGACAGCCCACTAAACTGCAGATAATGTAAACTGTGGCATGAAGACCTCTTGACAGAATTAAGAGATCCTGTCATGAGATAAAGTACTGTTTAAGGTTCCCTCTTCTGAGTCATTTTAAGAGAACAGTACAGAACAAAACAGAGCTTTGCCAGGTTTGTAAGACATTATTTTAGCAGAGAGCACCTGTACTCTGAAAGCAGGGGTTCTCTGTAACGTTATTAATGCTAATCATTTCGATACTTTGACATATTTGGAAAATACCACCCAGCACTATCTGACTCACCAGTCTCCAAGCACACTGAATAGGCCAGCTAATCTGCATGTATTGAAGAAGGAATTCCATCGGATTTTTAAAATACATGCATGATTCAATAATTATGATGTAAACAAAGTGATTCAGAGTGATTTGATGTGAAATCATTTACAGTGGTGTTGATAGGAACCAGACACTGAAACAGTTTAATGCCTCTAAAAGGTCCCTCACTTAAGCTCATTACATGAAATGGTTAGAAATACGTGACCTGATGACTGTGACATTATTTTATGATCGTTTCAAAACAAAGCTTTAGCCTAAAACTTTCTTTTTATCTATTGACTGTGGAGTGGTGCATGTAGGGCTTTGCTAGAAAAGTATTTTTGGGGATTTAGCACTATTTTACATTCATTAATACTACATACTGGAGCTGCTCGATTATGACAAAAATCACAATCAGGATTATTTTGGTTAATACTGAGATCACGATTATTTAACATGATTACTCACTGACTTTGGAAACATCATGCATTTATTGAACTTCTGAAAACTTGTATTTTTAATAGTGGATTTCCTTGAACTTTAAATATAATTCAACTGAAAAAGAAATAAAAAAGGAAAGGGGTGCACTGAATTTAGACAAAAGAGAATATCATTGAGAACCGGAATGCAGCACAATAATTGTTCTCTCTCGATTATCTGGTTTTCATAATCACTGGAAGCCAAAATTGCAATTTAAAATAAAATTTGATTAGCTGTCCAGCCTATTACATACACAAATAAACAGTCTATACAGTCTATATTTGTGTTGTTGACATTGTGACCCCTGGTTCCTATCACCACCACTGTAAAGTAACCTGTGTTGGTAAGTTTCTACACAACGAACCATTTCACATCAAACCACTCTGAATAACTTTGTTTACATTTTAATGATTCAATTACATACAAATTTTGGAAAAAATTGTGGATTTACCCTTTTTTGCTCTGAAACACCTGATTCAACTCATTAGTTCATTACCAAACGCTTCATGGGGTAAAAATGGGTGTGTTTGGTCAGGGAAGCACTAAAATGTGAACTGTACGTCGAAGACGTTACACCTGTGGTTAAAATGTGGCTTTACCGCCTACTCTAGCTTCCACAGAGAGGACATGGGTAGAAAACAAGTCTTGACTTAAGATATTCGGGCCAAAAATACACCAAATATACCCCAACTTATTATTATTATTTTAGAGTAGTACTTGCTAAGCTAATAGCGGCTACAACTCTCAGAGAGTTTTAAGCTAACCTAACGCGCCTAAAATGCGGCACCTCCAACTCAAGACAGACCTGAATTCAAAAACAATTAACTTAAATTTGTTCAAGCGTATATTAAATACTTCCAATATACTTACAATATAACATATGGCCCTAAAATGTATAAAACTTTGGCTGTCTGAGCGGCAGCAGTGCTGCAAACCGCCCCCCAACCATACGAAGCTGAAGTTAGCTTCATATTCGCCAGCTTCTTGTTTGAATTTTCCGTTCCACCTTAAAAAGGTGCAGCAGACGCATTCTGGAGGGTGTACACGCGCCAGAATACAGAATGTAACTGCTGCACCTTTTAAGGTGGAACGGGAAATTCGCTTAAGAAGCCAAGTTCAACCTCGTCTCCAGCGCTAGCTTAGCGTAGCTAGCGCGCTAAGCTAACACAGCGAGCCAGACAAGAGAAACGCCTCAGCCGGGTTTATTACGCCGCACGCTGAAACGCATCGGTGTTGGCAAGGTTTGCAGTTCAATGAAACGAAGGGAAGGAAGGCCAGAAAATGTGCAGGACACTCACCGATCACCTCCTGCAGCTCGTAGTCATCCTTACAGATGGACCAGGGTTGGGAGCTCAGGTCCTCCGACATGGCTTTGGGTCTAACGGCGCTTCTCTCTACTCAAACCCCGCCGAGTCCAAGCTCTCGGGCTGCGCTCTGGAAACAGAAAAATAACAATAAAGGAGAAACGCTCAAATGTAGGCCGTCCACATCGACGGATGGTACCGATCCCATACAGCTCCTGCTACTATATCATTCCCAAAGTTTGCCACCAGCGGCCCCCGCCTTCACATTCCTGCGGAGCGCCGAGGTGGAGAGACAGCGCCGCCATGCTGAGAGGGGAAGGGCGCGTCGCAAACCGAGCTGGTTCCCTACTCAGTGGCTCACATCTAAATCATCAACATTTAAACTTCAATTTTAAGTATTGAAGATGACATATTTATGAAAAAGAACTTCTACAGTACAGCTATAAGACATTTACTGTATTAGGTCACATTATGGATTTGTTTAATATTGATTACAGCACAATAGAAATCTTATAGTTCAGTGCGGTGGTGCCTCAATTCAATACATATTTTAATACAGCAAATATAAAGAGTGCCTTTTGTTAATAATGGTTCCATTTTCAGTTTATTAGAACATTTACCATTATAGCAGTACAATGAGACTTCAGAATGACCACAGAGTTATGTCTGATCCAGACTGGTCACTTATCAGTATAAACACACACAAAAAGGCTGCCACGATTAAATGATGCAATAGTGAAGAAGGCCCTACTTTCTGGGGAGGCTGAAGTACACTGGCCTTGATCTACACACCGTCAGGGACATTTACAACAGCAGGTGCAGCTAAAAGGCCTCCTGCATCATGGAGGACTCTACCCACCCTGCTCACCGACTGTTTGCCCCCTCCCTTCAGGTAGGTGGCTACACAGCAATAAGGCCAGAACTAGCAGGCTGAGGACCAGCTTGTTCCTGGATGCTGACAAATTCTCTCACTGAACGGTTGCTGCTATTACTATTATTCCACATCAGGGCATTCCTGCAGTTTGAGTCTGATAAATTCTTCAGCCTTTACTGTACAATTGCAGCCCTCGCTGGACAATTGCTGTCTTACTGTACAGTCTGTTGTTATTATTACTATTGTTTCATTCCAGGGTGCTGCTGCAATTTGGGTCCACTTGGCCACCTTGTTTATCTTTTACTTTTTCATAGTCTTATTTTCATAGACCTATCAACACTCACTTTATCTTTACATTAATTATCTATTTCATTTTTAATGGTGTTTATTATGTGCTTTTGTCTTGATTTTTATTATTGCTGCCACCTAAACCGGGACCTAAGTACCTCATTTCCTCCCTTTCATGTACAACATGTTCTGGAATAACAGTAAATGAATCTGAATATTTTCTTTCTTAATAATTTGAAAATGTACAGAGCCCTGCTGGTGACATCCCAAATAAATAAAAATAAATAATGCCTTACTAAGTCGTGGCCACGCCATATTAACGTGTGGGAACGAGATCCTAATCCACAGCCGTGACTTAGTAAGGTGTGGGAATGAGATCATGCCTTATTAAGCTGTGATCAAGGCTTAATTATCTCATTCCCTCATCTTACTAAGTCATGGCCACGCATTAGGATCTCGTTCCCACACCTTACTAAGTCGTGGCCTCCTGCCGTTGTGTTGAAATTTCATGATGAATGGACCAATAGAAACGTCCAAAATTCAACGTAATAAAAATGTATTAAATTAACTTACGGTATAAGTTAAGAACATGTTTTTCTTCTCCTGTAAAACTATTTTTTTGAAATAGAAAGTTTCGTTCTGACAGCGACGATGCAGCCTAAAAAACTGTAGCCCTGGTTAGAGCCCTACGTAGGGAACAGGATGTAGATTTGAGACGCACCCAAAGAGAGCGACGAGTTTAGTCACACGTCGTGTCACCAATAATGAGCAACGAGTCTTTCAGCGACAGAACAGAAAGAAATGAGAGCAATTAGGAAGGAACTAATAATGGAGTCGAGGGGAAAGTGCACCCCTTTAATCACGGTAGAAACACTAGTGTTATCAAGAGTATAAACAAATCCGTCAAACCCATATAACTGAATAAATGCCAGATAAAGGCTCCGCTGGCCTCGGGGTGATGTTATGTAAAGCGCTGATGGTGCACAGAGCTGAGAAATGTAAGACTGAGCCTCGACACGGCCAACATGTGCACTGAAGTCCTCTGTGGTTGCAACATCCATCATGGCGGAAATCAGGCTCCGCGCTGCGTCCTATATCAAGTAGTCTACTACACACTACGCACTACACACTTTCTCAGTACACACTATTCTCACGCTTAGTGCGGTAAGCTGTTCAAGTGAACTTTGAGCATTTCGTATTTTGTCATATCGTTCAAGTCAGAGTGAATCAGAAATCATAACACACTTCTATTATATATCTACATATATATATATATATATATATATAGATATATATAGATATATAGATATGTATAGATTGACACACAGTTGTGATAAGGACCCAGAAAAGAGACAATAAGAAGAAATACATATGCAGTAGTAAAAATTCTTTAAGAATAAAATTAAATAAAATGAATAGTAAAAGATACAAATATAAGTAAAACAAAACACATTAATCAGAAACAAGGGCAAAAATGATACACCAATCAGACATAACATTAAAACCACTTCCTTGTTTCTACACTCATTCTATCATTTTATCAGCTCCACTTACTATATAGGTGCACTTTGTAGTTCCACAATCACAGACTGTAGTCCATCTGTTTCTCTACATACTTTATTAGCCCCCTTTTACCCTGTTCTTCAATGGTCAGGACCCCCATGAACCCTCACAGAGCAGGTACTATTTGGATGGTGGATCATTCTCAGCACTGCAGTAACACTGATGTGGTGGTAGTGTGTTAATGTGTGTTGCGTTGGTCTGAGTAGATCAGACACAGCAGTGCTGCTGGAGTTTTTAAACACCTCAGTGTCACCGCTGGACTGAGAATAGTCCACCAACCAAAAACATCCAGCCAACAGTGTCCTGTGACCAGTGATGAAGGGCCAGAGGATGACCAACACAAATTGTGCAGCAAAAGACGAGCTATCGTCTCTGACTTTACATCTACAAAGTGGACCAACAAGGTAGGAGCATCTAATAGAGTGGACAGTGAATGGACACAGTGTTCAAAAACTCCAGCAGCACTGCTGTGTCTGATCCACTCATTGTTGTCCATATAGTTACAGAATAATAATCCTTATTAGTATGCAAGCTGCACATCTTGTAAACACGATCGTTTTTAAAAGGGAATTCTTTCTATTTTTCAAAACTTTCGTATGATTAAATGGTTGAGATGTAAACAAAGTCATTCCGAGTGGTTTGATATGGTTCATTGTAGAGAAACTCACTGTTTACAGTGGTGGTGATAGGAACCAGATGGCTGAAGCCTCTAAAAGCAAAGTTTTTACATGAAATGGTTATGGATACACTGCCTGATGCTTGTGACATTGTTTAATGATAATTTTGAGAAGGTTTTGGCCTAAAACATATTTTTAAAATGTCTTTATGGCAGATATGTACATGCAGGGTGTTTTGAGGTCCCTAAAGAAAACCTTTTTTTTTTTTCAGCTTCACCTCTATTTTACTATCATCAACACTACATATTTGAACATGTGTAGGTTTTGGGTAAAAATAAATAAAAAAGCTATTTTTGTGTTGTAGACATGACAACCCCTGGTTCTTATCATCACCACTATAAAGAAATCTAAATTAGTACGTGTCTCTGCAGTCAGCCATTTCACATCAAACCACTGAATAACTTTTCTCAGTGATTGAATTGTGTAGGAAGTTTGGTGGAATTCTATAAGAAACCATCAGTTTCCTTAAGAAACTAAGATACACTAAATACACACAAAACTAAGTAAATGTTTTTCACTCATTTTTTGCTCAATTTTCAAAATATTTCATTTATAACTTGTTGCTAATTTTTTGTGGAGGTGTTTTATGTTTTAGTGTTTATGTACTTGTGGTCATTGTCGTTGTGTCGTTTATGTAGTTGTGGTCATGTAGTAGCAAACAACAACTAGTTTTATTCGACCTCAAAAATAGTTTGATTGAAACAATCATTCAAAGTATTTATTTAGCTTGAATGAAATTAAACTAGTTAATGTACATGTTACCACACAAAGTATTTTCTTTAGATTGAACTGACAAACCATTTTTTTACAGTGTGGTACAAAACAAAACTATATATAATATGCTATGAGAACTGACAAGGCCTAATTTGTCAAGGCCTAGAAATTCCAGCACTGAAGACACACCTGACAAGCACAGCACACACTTTATGGTGAAGTTCACATTTTCTCACAAAAGAAGTCAAACAGAGCTGAACTGTTTACTGCCATCTAGTGGCATAAATATTACTGAGGTTGGTTTCTGAAAGCTGATGAGTTCACTGGAGTTCAGCTCTGTGTCTGTAACAGGATGTTCCACTGCAGGGGGAGATAAACTCAGGTCCTGGTGGGCAGCAGCCCTGCACAGAGCACTGCGTTCCGTCTTCTATAAGATTTCTATTGTGCTGTAATCATGAAAAACCAAATCCTCTCAAAATTTCCTTTTTTTTTTAATGACAGAGTTTCATTGTTCATTGTTCTGTGATGGCACAATGCATTTGCGTATATCTGTCTGTCCTAGTTTTTCAATATGTTAAACCTAGTAAAGAAATAGAATAGAAATTGTGCCAAGTGTGTTCCCTGTAGAGGATGTTAACCCCTTAACAGGCCAGGGCCCGCCGGCAGGGCCAAAGTTTTATTACACACGTCTATAAGCTAATATCTGAGCTAGTTTGCACTAAAGTCCCTTATTTTCACTTCACAACATCGATAAAATGTGTCACTTGTACAGGAATGTTCAGACTTGACTGTATAAATATTGTAGCATTTACTGCTATTAAATAAGGGACAGCTGACTATACACAAGTCATTGTGCTTTATTAAAGGCTGTATTCAGCCACAGTCACACCATACACTAAAAAAGTAAGGCCTTTGGCTAACAGCTAGTGATCTACACCAGTGATCTCCAACCCTGGCCCTGCAGAGCCTAGTTACAACCACAATCTGCTACACCTGCTCCAGCTAATCAACCTTTTCCCAAGTCCCTGATTGGCTGGATCAGATGTATTAGAGTTCAGTAAGGGGCAGAGCAGTTTATTGGATACAGGCTAAACTAAACTCTGTAGGAAGGCAGCTCTCCAGGACCAGGGTTGGAGACCACTGACTACACACAGCTCACTTCACATTTTTTC